GAGTCAGCAGTGTGACAGAAAGGCCGCCATTATAGCGCTACTAACTTTATAGGGCTTTATTCTGCCTAGCTGGCATTAATGCCATAACATTTGTTTGATAAATCAGCATCATGATGTCCACCATATCCACAGTGACTGAAATAGGACACCTGAGAGGAGTAATCCAGAGCAAATTGTTGAAAAAAGGACAAACTGCTGAGACCACGACACAAAACACCAGATGAACATTTAATATGCTGTGTTGAGGAATTTTATCTACAAATTTAAATGTCGATTGAATGCCAACACAGAGTGATACAAGGTTTTCTCCTTGTTTTTGGAAACATTGGAACAAATGTCTGTATGTTTTTTAACCACAAGTGACTTTTGAACTGCAATGATTGTACCTGCGTCTTGGTGTCCTCGTATTGTATTGTATTTAGTTTGTTTTTGTATTTGTTTTTGTTGCTATATGGACTCATGTGTCTGGAAATAAAGTTGAATATAATATCCAGGAATTCCCATTATAGACACCACTGTGTAACAATTTGGTCTCAATGTAGCACACTGACCATATACAGTACTAGGTTTCCACCTAGTCTTGTTCTGTTTTATTGTTAAGCAAGACAGAATCAGTCCACCCCAGGCCAGACCAGCGTTTTGCAGTTCTTGTTTGCTAATAATTCAAAACAGTTTAGTAAATTACCGCAGACATCCACACACATTTTATAATATTTCAGAGTTAATATTTCTCCAAGTTTTCCCATTTAACCAAGTGCCACAGAACTTCCCATTATTACTGCTCAGATAAATACACACATGTACAGTAACTAATACTGCGAAGGTTACACACACAAAAACACAGTTTTTATGGCCCGGAGATAAGCATTAGTATTGATGAAATGATTTACTGTATTAGAAAAAGCAGTTGAATGTAGTCTGCCGTTATTTCCCCTGAGAAAGTCACTCTTTAGATGCATCAATAACACCTCGCACTGCACACCAGTTTATTTCAAATCAAATCGCTTACAGCTATTTCATTACATTCTCAAAATAACATTTAAAAAATGTAAACACATCTTGTTAAGTATTTTTCCCCCAGATAGTCCTGCATGTGACAAATTAGATTTAGTGATGAGTAAGAAAGTTTCATTGCAAATGAAGTCAGAGAGAGAGAGAGCAGCAAAGTTCAGAAACATTATTAGCTCCAACAGGACTTTGTGAGACTATGTGGGTGGACCTCAGACCATCTAATGGGGTCCAGGGACATGGCCCCCCAGAAGAAAATGTATAAATGATCATATAATCTAAATGCACTAATCTGGTGCACTTTGAGAGAAAAATGAAGAGGCTAGATCTATGAAAAACTTTGTGGACAATTGTGTGCCCTTTTTTTTGGCAGTGGTACAATGTTACTAAGTACATTTGATCAAGTACTGCACTCAAGTAAAATTTTGAGGTAACTTTACTTACTTAACTTTCATTAATGGTGCAAAACAATTTGTCGAAACTTTAAATAAATGACAAAGAATAATGTTGTTTTTCATTACACGTAGGCTTGTACCAACGTTTTTAGAAAAGAAATAACAAAAAAAACTGACAACCTTTTGTGTGAGGCCACCAAATCCAGACAACAGGTCAACCTAGAGGCTTCTGTCCATCTATGCTCAGATCAGATCAGAATATCTGCATTCAAAACAATCCAGATGATGAAAGACAATTAGAAAACCATGACAATCTGTATTATTACATTACAAGCTAAATAAAGTTAATGCTGTGCCTCATGTTAAAAACAATCATCTTTTTTTTGGACTGCGTCCCGTTATCAGCACATTACAAGTTCTCTTCTCTTATTTGAAATCCTCTGCCTTTCCACCAGCTCTACGGTGGTCTCAGACAGTCTGCACCAGATTAGTCATTGCTCTAAAGCATTTGGAAACTGTTTTCAAAAGTAATACAGTAATAATCATCCTACATCTGTTGGAGATGATTTCATGAATGTTTCATCATCAACATAATTTCTGTCTGCGCCCACTTTCTCCCTCTATCTTTGTCTCTGCCCCCGCACTTCCCTTCATGTCTGACAAAACAGAACGAGTCAGTTGATTAAAGCAGAAAAAGAGGGTGCATCTCCTGAAGAGGCTTCTGTCCCACACAACACAACGCTGCAATCAACTCAAGTGCCATGACTCACAACTGGGAGGGGGAGACAGAGACGATAAACAAGAGCGCATTCCTTAAAAATAAAAAAAAAGCTCTGTGTCTACATGCATGTTTCCTTCGATGACAACAACAGTGATGTCCTCGTGAACCACTGACCTGTGTGTGAGGCCGCACAAAGCTCTGCAGGTATAGCAGCGGAGCCTGGCTAGCAGTTAGCGAGTGCTGTCACTTGGCCCACGAGCGTATGAACACACAAGCAACTACAGGAAAAAGACCCAAAACATCCACCGACGACACGCGCGTTTAGACAAGCAGCAAAGACTTAGCTCGTCGCAGTGAGGTAGAGCTCCTCTTGGGCGTCACAGTGGAGATGAAAGCCTTCAGAGTTGAAACCGAAACACTCCGACCATGACACATCCAACGCACCTCTCAGGTGCGTTGGATGTGCTGCAGGTAATCTGACAAACGGCAGCTGTGGAAAGATAGACACGCATTTACACTAAAGCAATGCATGTGTGACTGGTCAAAACATTCATTTGACTATGGGTGTCTAAACTGAAAATTAGAGGTGGTCAAGTGAAATCTATTGAATGTTATAAGCGCTTACCAGAAGCAGCAGGTGATAAAGGCCATCGTGCACAAACGCTTTGATTGCATGTGGAGGCTGGAGAGGGATGGAGAGCGCACTGTGGTATTTACCCCTCTAGTGGACATGCGAGGGATTTGAGAAGGCAGGTAATGGCATACAGTGTGATACAGACTAAAATATGTAAAACAGAGAATGTAGCTTCTTCACACCTGTTATTTATTCATAGGCTCTTCATCTGTATTCCCTCCCAAAACAGCAGACAGCAGCTGTCTGATGAGGCCTACAGCTGCACTTCTGTAATGAAACCCTTGGGGAGGAGAGTGTCATTTGTTGCCTGAAGGAACGGATTACATTCTTAAAACATGGTGGAGCGGGTAAACAGTAAATGCTGTGTGCAGCAGAGGGGAGCTGCTTCATTATTCATGAGGTAAAGACGGACGTTTGAACACGGAGAGCGTTGTCGAGAGTGTTTGCTCATGTGTCTGCTCGAAGTTAGACAGGTGCCAATGACAGTGTGTATAGGTGAATGCTCCATCAAAGGTTAAACACCTGCTAATGACACCGTCAGGACACGGGCTAATGTTAGCCTCATTAACATACTGGAGTAGAGCTAAAAACACACCGCATAGTCCGCTGACACACTCACCCATTCTCTCTCACATTGACAGGTAACAGCAACCTGTCAGCACCTTAATCAACATGTGTTAACAGTTAATCAATGTAAAATGTCTTCCTGTGACCTCGCCAGCAGCTGAACAACTGCACAATTTTAAATGATTTGGACAATCCCTGCAAGCAAATTAGTATCTACATAAACATAACAGGAATAATAGCTGGCAAGTAAAGGAAGCACAGTTGTGTGTCTCCATTCTACATGACTGGCTGCATACCTAAAGCTCTTTTTGACTGAAATATATATTTTTTGTATCTCAAATAGTTTTATGATTTGAATGTTGTAGGAAGGACACAGCAGAGGTTATGCTTAATCGTGTGGGTATTAGTTGAAGGTTACAGATTCAAGGTTCAGAGAGAGAGAGAGTTAAAAGCTAAAACCTGCCCTCACAGCTTTAATGGACCTTTTAAAAACAATTGCATTAGCACTTCATGTGATTACTTCAGTGAGCGGCTCACCCCATCTAATGTATGAATGCCGTTCAGCCTTTTCATAAGACTTAACACACCGAATGTCAGTTTGAAAATGAGTTTGTAGAGTCTAACATTTGACTCAGGCTTGTTAAGCAGACCTTAAACCTGTTCAATTCTAGCATTTCTTCAACTTTAAGGCAGTTTCTATCAAGTTCTATCAGACAAGAAAACCCCCCACCTACAGTATTTATACCCATTATATTCAGTAGATCTATACTCTATATAGAAGTTACAGAACCATTACATGACATATTGATTTGGTTATAAATACAGAGATATTAAAAGTATCATCACAAATTAAAAAGATCATGAATGTTTCTGATGTTTAATATTCAGATCATGCATAATCACAACATCATGTATTTGACTATACTGTATTTTTTGTAGAAACAGACAAATGTTTGTTCAGATCTGTCAGACTGAAAAGCAATAATTTGTTTCCCCCTAAACTCTACCAGCAACATTTTTCTTGTCACATGTCAGTTGGCGCACGTACATCACACACAATAAATGCCCAATAAACATTCTGACCTATTTCTGAGTCATTTTGTCAGAAATCCAGCAATGATCATTGGTGGTGCAGTATGAAGAAAAGAAAGCCCCAGAGAGAAATCCATTTCCTTTATGAAATTGCAATGGCCTGTCATACATAAGCAAAGCCAGTGTCATTTCGCCCTCGCTGAAATTGGAAGGTCACTGACCTCCATGTTGCTTCTGCTCACTGAGAAAGAAAAACTCAACCCCACTGACAGAATGAAAACATTTTACTTTTCATATTCTACATTATCTATCTACATCTGTGTCTATGCATACACAATACAAATTCACAGAAGATATTCTTTCTCTTGGACTTTTTTTCTCTTTGTAACTGTAAATGTCGCAACCTCCCTGTCTCATGTTCATATATGTCCATCTATCAGTATCTGTGTGTGTGTGTGTGTGTGTGTGTGTGTGTGTGTGTGTGTGCAAGTGTTTGCAGCATGTGTGCACGTTTGCGTCCTACAATGCGTCAGTGCCTTCAGTTTCTGCGCCAGCAGCAGGCTCCTCCCATGTGTCCAGACCCCTCCCCCTTCCTGTGTGTCAGTATAAAATATGATCTCCTGTCTTGCTCACTCACTCTCAGTCTGAACACTGGAGGAGCAAACATCAGCATCTTCAGACTCAGCATCTCTTGGTCCATGGCAAGAACTGCAGGTAAGAATAACAAAACGGATTCTGAAATGTGTGTCCGTGGTTGTTTGTGTGTTTCTGTTGAATGAGGACAAATGGTTCTTGAAAAGAGTTTCTTTTTTAATCATTTGTCCTTTTTTTTTTCTTGGACAGATACAGAAATTGTGCATTTAATCTGAAAAGTTCAGAGGAAGAGGTTTTTAAATTTGTTTAATCATATTTAGTTTAATTCATTTTTAAAATATTTTTACAATAAATGTATTGTTATTTTTCTCACAGTTTCTTTAGTTAACTGAGTTGTGGGAAAATATAATCTAGAACATGTAATGTGGATATATTGGAACCCACTGACACGTGTTGAAGTTTGTTCAGGACATTACATTTAAAATATGTAATAACGAATAAGTGCATAATGGCAGGTGACCAATTTACAACTGTTAGAATAATCAGACTGTTTAAAGTCCTCTGATTATCTGAGTGTGCAAATAATCAGATCATGACATTGGAATTTTGTGTCAAGTTTCAAGACTAAATCTTGTGTGTACAATATTTATCATATTTTCATGTTAGGTTATTATTGCAGCAAATATTACAGGCAAGATCGTGCTCATTAATAAAAGTAGGGAAAAAATGCAAATTAAAGTTAAAGAAATGTCATCTCTGAGCAATAAGTGAACATAGACGTGTTTTAATCAATTTAAAAAAGGAATTCCCTTTGAATTTTTAAATTTTAATATTTTCTGAGAAGGGGACAGCAGTACAGTACCGCATCATTACCAGCTCACTGAATAATGAATTAGAGACAATGACCAGCTGCTAACAGGAATTATATTAGCATCAAGAGAATGACTGTTTACGCCACCGCTGTGTCAATTTAAACACAATTATTCAAACGGACCGTTGCATCGAGATACATTGAAAAAATGACACTGATATCATTTCTAGATATCGTTTTGGTTTAAAAGAGTTCCAAGATTTCATTTCAATGCTGCATGATCAGGTTGATGAAGAGAGCTGATAATCATCATGTCCAGCGTTAGAGGTGAAGAACTGCTATCATCCAAGCTGCTGAAGGATGAACACACATTACTTGAAGGACACATTATTAAGAGATTGATTCTGTGTCTGTTGAAATATTCACTGAAATCTTTTTAAAAACTAGTTAATATGTGACTTCTCCTGGCTGAGCTCACCGTTTCACCCACTTGTGTGTGTGTGTGTGTGTGTGTGTGTGTGTGTGTGTGCGTGCTTTACTACGCAAAAGGACCATTCTTTGAATTGTAAAGAAATAGAGTTGAAAAATAACAAACAAATATGCTGTAATAGAAGCACAGAGACAGAGAGAGTGAGTTTTGAACTGTTGGAGATTGAAAACCTCAGAGCGACTGGTGTTGTTGATTTGATCTCATTGGATGATTTGCTCTGGAAGAATGTTCCGGCACAAAGCATCTTCATCAGAACTAATATGCTGCTTTGGGCTCCAGAATAAATATTGTGTTAGAAACCTGGCTAATCAGTTTGATAAATGTAATATCGTGCCATCGTTTATCTAGTTTTTCCTTTTTCACACAACTGCACTTTCACAGAAAATATAACGTCAAAACTACATTCGCTGTTGATTATCTAAGCAGATATACGACAGTAGATTTTGAGGGCTGCAAAACAGATTTTTATTTCTCTCCCTCATTGTGTTTTTCTTCCAATACATTTATGTTTTGACCTTTTTATACGAGCAAAATAATAAATAAAATGGTAAAAAACAAATCATGTAATTCATTGTGTCAGTGCTGTCACGTTAACATTGACTCTTATGTGAACACTGCGAAAAAAAAGCAAAGAAAAGCATGGAGAGCCAAATGAAGATTTAGAGATAATTGGTGTTTCCTTTGTGATTCTGTCAATGCTGACAGTGTGCATTCATTACAACTACGCCACACACCAACTCTGTGGGTGTGTGTTAAATACTGATTTGTTCTGAAAGAAAAAAATGATGTTTGCCTTAGGTTCCAGTAGAACCAGCAAAGGTTAATCTCTCCCCTCCCCCCCCCCCCCCCCCACCCCCCCCCCCCCCTCCTCATTCCTTGTTATTTCT